ACAGACACAGACATACATACATACATACATACATACATACATACATACATCATTTCAGAAAACTGGTGTTTACACATATACATGTGTGTGTATGTGTATATGTATAGAGATTATATATATATATATGGCGATCAGTAGCATGGACCCTTTTTGACAGTCATGGGTGAAGAAGCACCCGAAATCAAACTCTAGGATGGAAAGGGTATTCAGGTTCTTCAGGCTTGAAGCCTAAATCAATTCCCGAGACACGAGAATAGTTGTACCCGAACACCTGCCGAAACCCTGCAAAGCAAGGTGCTGCTTGCAGCGATTTGTTTTGAGTCCGGAAAGTCGGATACAGCTGGGATGGGCGCTTGCCGCCACGGTTCTCATCGAGACTTGGACATCTGATGTCGTAGGTCTTACGAGCTGAGTGTTTATCGTGTCATGTCTCTTGGGTTCGAGCCGTTCATCTCGACGTTATATGCTTCAGGGTTTAAGGTTTATGCCTGTAGCAAAGAGGACCTACAATGGAGACTATAGGTAGTGTTTGGGGGTCTAGCTGAGTCCAGGGTTTGGGTCGCACTGCTGGCTCTGTTGCTGCTAACGGAAAGCTAGGGAAGCGGTGCCATTCTTCGAGATCGCACGTTGATTCTGTTGGACTGCCTTTTTGGTCTTGGCCTTGACTTCGCGATAAATCCAGAGCCGTAATTAAACCGTTGCAAACTCCAAGCCTCACTATGAAGGCACAGAGATACTGACCTCCTAGCGAACCGCAAACCCCTTCTTTCAGCATCGAAAAGTTGGGGATTTTGGAGGCTCTGTGTTGGACCCTCCCAAAAAAAGAGTTCTCCCCACTATAGAAGCCTAAATAACTACCTATACCATTTTGGGGAGTCCTTAATATGATTATAGTATAATATACCCCCGAACCCTATTCTAATTGTCAAGGCCCCTACCACTACACTGCTAGCCCACCTTTATCAGACAAGACCCCGAACACCGACTCTCAACAGGGAGCTCTTGCCCGTAGTTTGAAAAGCAAATCCTCGACCCAATCGATTGAATCAAGAAGCTTATATAGAGCCTGTGGATCCAAAAACCTAGTGTTTTTAGGGTTCCTTAAACCCTTAACCCTAAACTCTAAACCCTAAACCTTAACGGGACATAACCTACTAGTGTATCGGATGTGGAGCTACGGGAGGGGCGCCTTCGGTGTGGTCGTATGGGGTTCAGAGATGCCTAGAGGGCAGCTTCGGAATCCCGGACCCCTAAACCCAAACCCCTAAACCCTAAATCCCCCTAAACCCCCAAAACGCCCAAACCCTACACCGAAGGGCCGGTAGTATTCCCTGAACCCTAAACCCTAAAGTATCCCGAAGGGTCCAAGTGCCTAATAATCACATACACTCCCAAATAGTAACCTACATAATTACTATCCGAAACCTAAGTACCTGATCATTGGGTCCTTTGAACCCTGGGGGTATCCTCCAGAGAAAACCGCGGAGCTGCCACACCCCAAAACGTTGAGGCTTTGGATCCAGCGGGAGCAGACCCGTTAAGGGTTTGGGGGTTAAGGCTTGGTGTTTGGGGTTTAGGGTTTGGTTTCGGGTTTAGGGTGCATCCGAGAAGGTATGGGACATGATCACCATTCCTCTCGAGTTCTTCCCCTTGACGGAGTTTGCATCGCATGTGGACAACGTGGCCTTGGCCCTTTGCCTGTGGTGAGCGGAGGTGCAAAACCCTAAACACCCTAAACCCCTAAACCCCTAAATACTAAACCCTAAACCCTAAACCCCAAACCCTAAACCCTAAACCGGTCCGAGATCCTTCAAGGCTTACTGGTTTAGGGCCGGCTAGGTTTATGGGTTTCGGGGTTGCGATCCGGGCTAAGAAGCTCTATTCCCCAACCTTGTTGGATGCAATTTTACATTTTCGTTATAATAAAACCCAATAAGGATGAAACATGATCATTTTCAATATAGCGCCAACAGGGAACCAATAGCCCTAGACCGCGAACGTTCAAACCTGCCTAGGCTCTCCTGGTTGAATTCTTCGCGGCATGGTAGTGTTTCGACGTCGGCATGATGACAAGCAGGAGCCTTGAGACTCCTTATTACACAAACCCTTCTAGAAGGCTTGGAGCCCTAAGCCGTGAACTCAAACCATAAACCCTAAACCC